TTTTTAATGTGAATTTAATGTCTAATTATAATTTTATGTGGCATGAGCCGCGCGTCAGATCAATTTAAATTTGATGCACATTAGTTATCACCTGTATTGTTTGTACAAAAAAATTGACTATTTGTAAATTTTTAGTAAATTTGACCAATATGCAAACTTCTAATACGGTTACATTATACACTATTTAATTAGTTGATTAAACTTTTAAGTCATTATTGTAAATTAGAATGGTCTATTAATTAATCGCGTGATTTTTTCAAATTTACCATACTAGTAACGAAGAAATTTAAAGATTAATGTAAAAGGATGGTTCTGAAATTTAAACTTTATAATAAAGTCACAGAACGACTTTATAAAAAATAAGACAAGTTAGCATTTTGCAGTATTAAACAACAATAATATTTATACCAAATGCGGAAGTATTACGTCATTACGTGATGAAGCAAGACGAACTCTTTCCAAAAGATTCGTAATGGATGTCATCATTTGTAGATGTTAGAATAATATGTATTACATCATTACATCATTTGTAATCAAAATATATATAGTACAATATGATTTTAATTGTTTGCTGCGTACTGCATATTAAGGAGTATACCAATTTTGGTAAAGTTCGCGATGTGGCTTTGATTTAACAAAAAATCATTATATATAGGAGATCATTTTTAACTGATTTATTTCTTTTCTTTCTTTCTCACTTAATTATTTCTTATATTATGATTTAAATTATTTTACATATTCTTTTCTATTTTATATACTTATATTAATTACATTATTAAATATTTTAATGACCTTATTCATTTAATTTATCCTATTCTAACTTTTTTACACTTTCTTATCATAAATCAAAAGTACGATACTTCAAAGTAATTTAACAGTTAATATCATGAATTATGCTACTTTATTATATTAAAAAACAACAAATGACATGATGATATTGACCATATATTATTACCAACATCTTATATTCATAATTCAAACGCAAGTTTTTTACCACCTCTTTTCCATTATATTCGTTAATAACTAATACTAATAAGAAATTATCCTTTACTATTTAAAACATAGTGTAATGTTGTTCAATCATATCGATTCATATTATTTTATTACAAAATGGATGTTTTCCTTATTAAATATTATCCTATTTAATTATGTTCAAAATCATTTTTGTTTTAAATTATTTTTATATTAAGAAGTTCAAACCTTTTAACTGTGAAATATAATAATTAATTAATCTATTCAAAATTTAATAACATAACATTTTATTCTTTATAAAATAATATACATTAACTTCTAAACAAAAAAAAGAATGCTTCCACTTGAATATTACATATACTTTAATTAAGAATAGAAAAAGCAATTCTTATAGTATTAAAAATCCGCAATCTTTTCGTTGTACAAATATAGGTTGCAATGCAACAATTCACTTTCGATTAGAACGATAACGACTTCCAAATAGTAATATAACCTTTTAAAAAATATTCTACTTTATTAATTATGAAATAAGAATTTTCCTAATATATATTAGATAAATATAACATTTTCCATAAAAATTTTTATTTATATAATTATATCTAATGATTATTGGACTTGGTATTGAAAAATTATTGAATTTAGATCTTTAGATTATTTATTGAGGTTGGAAATATTACGTTCAAGAATACTTAATAATAAAATTGTGTAACATAATATAATATATCCCTAATATTACAAAAGAAAAAAACTCGAAGATGGGCTAGTCAAGCTCTAACCCTAACCTTAACCCTAATTTGAACCAAATTATCTTCTATTAGTATAGCACTTATTATTTTATGATAAATTATCTTATTTATTAATATAACAAATATTTCATAATATAAATTATATCATATAGTTTTTCTTCAATTAACTAAAACACAAATATTTGAAGTATTGCTAAAACTAGAGAATTTCATAATTTAATTAATACAAACAATACACGAAAAAGGCTATTATAAAAAAAGGAGAAAAATAAGATAGTAAAGTGATTAATTAGTTCATAAAAAACAAATTACTAGATAGATAAATTTATGACATTTAATTTTAATTATTTCGTAATTAATTATATACATGCAACATTGATTCTATATGGATTATAATTTGGTTTAGATTTTATAATATACTCCATTTTTCATTTATAGAGCTAAGGAGAGAAATATAATTTGTTAAACAGTCATTCATATTAAGGCTTTTAAATTATTTCTTTATATTAGATTTTCAACAATCATTACAGATTATTATATATACATCTTCTATTAATATTCTATGATATTATATTAAAAAGAATTTCAAATATACACAGTACATATCTTCTTCCAAATAATTTATATCAAGATTACCAATATCAAGCACAATACTACAATTTCTTCTTCTAATAAACGTGCAAGAAAATTCCCAAGATTCTGTTATGAATGTTGTACCAGCCATCCAGTATACAAATTCAAATAAGGGAATTATAGAATAAATAGTAACATATTAATATTATTAAAGATAATAATGGAATAATATATAGTATTTCATTAACAAAATACAGTAATTATATTATAAAAATGGATAAATATAAAAGAGAAAAATATATTAATTGTGCTATAAAATTAAGATAGCTTAAATATATATTGAAAGTGATAATTTTAAAATATAATGAAATACTATAATATAATACAAGGAAAAGGTTTAATATTTATTATTGCTCAACATTATATATAGATATATCAAGATTTATGGATTATAGACAATCCAAAATTTATTTAAAATGGTCTTTATTAATTCTGAGCAGTCAAAAAATCCATTGATCTTTATACAAATGATGGTCATTTTGAAAGCTGGTAATCAAAAGATGTTGTATATTAACAATGTGTATTCACTGTTAATAGTATAATAATAAGAAAGGAATGAATTAAAAACATGCAAGTATAGAAAAGAATCAATATGATGTTATTTAAATTATAATTTATAGTTTAGGCCACATTTATAATTTCAGCCAAAATTAACCAATTAAGTCATATAATTTATCAAAAGTTTTTATTAACTGAAAATTGGATTTGGATTTTAATGTATATCTAAAATGTCATTACCTATCACTATGATATACAGTATGATAATATTCTCAATATACTATGACTATACGGTATAAATATAAATGATATGGTGACTTTTAGAAAAGATAAAAAACTCTTTGGCAAAAAATGATACTATGATAAGCAAATAACATTTAAATCAATGATTCGATTTACTTAACAATTAACATAATATATAATTGCTATATTTACTAAAATTCAGTTGTCTCTGAAAATATTACAAAATAATGAAGGCATTTGGAACGCTATTTATGCGTATACCATTTGAAACTATTATAGAAAGTATTTATTCTATTAAATAATAGATTATTATCGTATTTTGGTAGATAAAAAATGATATATTTTATATATTCTGCTTATGTATCTCTTCGTGCTAGTGATTATGTAAATAATGTTTTATAAACCTTAATAAAGAGATGCGTGTTACCAAAAAAAAAAATAATAATAATAATAATATTAGGTCAAAATGAAACAAATATCATTTTATCGTTGTATATTCTTACAACTTACTGTATTTCTTTACAAATTACTTTGGATATAGTAAATTACATATTCCTTTAAGACGAGACAATTTTGAAATATAGACTTAGTCACTTAAGCATTTGCGGATATCAGAATGAGCCTTACTGGTTTCACGCCTTTACGCAGCAGATATCTTACTCCCATCTTTCGTAATCAAAACATAAAATCCATACAAAGACCTTAGGACACCTTGACATATGCCTCCTTTATCAAAACGCTATAGAGCGATATAGATAACCAAATTAAATCCAAATATAAAAATTAGAATATTCTTGGAAATTGATGTGTAACAGTTGGAAACAATTATATTGATCATTACGTTTATTACACCATTCAGAAAACAATTTAAGCACGATACACTTACTTTTACCTGCTAAAACACCAAACAAAAATATCAAAGGAAAATTTACAGACTTTAAAAGATTTCATTAGTATTTAGGGTTGGACAACATGTACCAAATGTAACAGAGCACCGATGTAATAATTTATATATATCGAAAGAGGTGTAGATACTACAGTAAATCAAATAATTTATTGGAAAGTAATTTACACTCAAAATAAAGACCTTTTATGACATTAGTCAGAATTTTAAAATTACAACATCTAATATATCATATCTATGAAATTTATTCTTTAAGTTAAAGAAAACCCAATATTTATACAATTAAATAAAAAAAAATAGTTCGTGCTAAATAGATTTTTATAAATAAAAAAGAAATATACCATATGTTAATAAAATTCAATTATTTAATTTTTGAACTTTTGAAACTATATCGAAATCATCTTTAAAAAAAAAATTACGCATTAGATACTTGTTATTCAAGTATTATATAAAGTAAATTAATATACTTTACCTTGATCTTGAGTTTCGATTTGCGATATTTCGGAAATATCACGCTTCTTTGAGCCACTTTTATAGATTAATAATATTAATAATCAATAACAGTAATATATTGAATAAATTAGAAAGAAATATTGATACTACCTTGTGTAAATATCAAGACTCCATTCATTGCTAATATATTCTAAGAAAATAAATTAATGTTGGAATTAGTATTTCAAATATTCTATGTCTTTATGATTAACGTACCATCATTGTATTCAAGTAACTTAATATCTAAATAAAAAATTATTATTAATTTCAAGTATTGATTATTGATTTGAGTATTAATTATTGATTTAAAATTATTACATACCATTTAATGAACATGTTGAAGATGGATTTAAAATCGAATTTAACGATCTACTAGTATAGATAGCGCCGGGATGAGATTTTTCACTAAATTCAGGACCAAGTTGTTCCGATTCTATTAATTCTAATCTTTTATTTTCAGCTTGTTTGAATTGTTCTACAGAATTATCTTTATAATACCAATTACTAAAACTTTCTGTAATTTCAGATATTAGAGGCCTCTTTGAAGGATCTGGATTCAAGCACCTCTTCATTAAATTAGCAAAACACTCAGGAGTATCATTCGTGATTTCAGGTTGTTTTCCATCAATAATTTTATAAATAAGATTAATATCATGGTCAATATTTGCAAAAGGTTTACAACCTGTTGTTAATTCCCACATAATCATACCCATACTATAAATATCGGATTCTTTTGAAAATTCACTACCCTTAAATATTTCAGGTGCAATATATGGTATTACTCCATATATTTCATTGTTTGATAAAGTACTATTTGAAGGTTGTGATAATCCCAAATCACAAATCAGCCATGATTGATATGATGATGATAAGATATTTCCACTATGAAAATCTCGATGTATAAAATTTTTTTTGTGAATCGCATTAAGTCTGTAATAAAAAAAACAATATATTAATATTATAAATGATAAGTATCAATTAATAAACTTAATCATATAAATACTAATCATATAAATACCCTTCTGAAATTTTCCATAAAATATGCAATTTTGTATTCCATGTAATATTTCTAAATTTGTTTTGCAAATATTTATGCAAATCCCCACCGTTTGCATATTCCATTATTAGCATATAATCTTTCGTGTTAAGATCTTGTGTAATACCATAAACTTTAATAATGTATGCCAGATTAGAACATTGGAGGAATGATTCTACCTAAATATATAAAAGTTATTATGGTTTAATATAATTATAAATATATTTGTACAAATATAACATGATTAATAATTACCTCATTTAAAAAACTATTACTATGTATTGTGAATCTGAAAATCTTTTTATAGCAACTTCTTTACCAAACCATGTTGCTTTATGGATAGTACCATACCCTCCTTTTGCTACATGCTCTAAATTTGTAATTTGTGAATATGGGACTCTCTTTATTAGTTTGTCTGTTCTGGAGTTGAGAAAAATTTTTCTGACAAATTATATACATATTTTGGGTTAAAATTATTGTCAATGCTATTCATATAATTGGCAATCTCACTTTTGGAATTATTGTCAATACTTCGTATATCATAAGTAACTTCATTCACATTAATGTCAATCTTATTAATAAACATTACTCTTCTGCATTTTCTGCATAGAGATTGTTCCGTAATTCCAAAAATAATATTTGTTGTTAAGCAATTTCTACATCCCATATAAATTGTGAAGCAAGATAAACACCATTTTTGACAATCAGATTTAGATTCTAATGATTGATCACAAGAAATACATTTATTGGAAGCATCCCACCAAGGTAAATAAAGAATTGGAATTGCTTTTTTGGTTAAAGTTGATTCTATCCATCCAGAAGAAACTTGATAACAATCTGAGCACAACTTAAATTCAATACTAGTAGTATCTGATGAAATCTGCTGATTGACTAAATTTCCACATAAATTACAAGATAATAATTCACTTATTATATGATAATATTTACTATATAATGTATCATCATAATACATATGATTTGTAACCATTTGATTAAAATATAACATTTCAGAGCAACTCTTGCGCCATTCTTGAATATTTTGTGTACAAAAATCCTTGTTTATTGGTTCATGTCTATCACATTGAATATTATCTGCTATACTTATAAGCACATCCAAATCGTTATTAAAAGTATATTTAATATATAAGAATAAACAATGACTGCAATATTTTTGTTTAAATAAAGGTGTTATAGAATATTTCCTTTTACAATAATAACATGTTTCTTCATTATTATTAAAAGGAATAAATATAATTGGTATTGATGGAATGATAATATTTTCATCATTATTTAAATTACTAATTTGTGGATATAAAACCAAATCTTTTAATGTTTTTGAAGGAATATAAAGTTTGTTTATGAAATTATATACTTCTAATGGATTAGAATTCTTATTAGCATAGTCCATATAATTGGCAATTTGATTGTAACAATTAGTTTTGATTTTCTTAACAAAAATTTCTTCTTCAGCATTTATAATATTAATAGTAATAGATAATATTCCATTGCATTTTTTACATTGGGACTGGTTTGTAATTCCAAAAATAATATTTGTTGTTAAACAATAACTACATCCGATGTAAGTTATATAGCAAGACAAACAACATTTATAATAACCAGATTTAGATTCTAAGAATTGATCACAATAAATGCATTGATTAGAAGCATCCCACCAAGGTAAATAAAGGATTGGAATTGCTTTTTTGGTCAAAGTTGATTCTATCCATCCAGAAGAAACTTGATAACAATCTGAGCACAACTTAAATTCAATACTAGTATTTGATAAAATCTGTCCATTAACTAATTTTCCACATAAATTACAATATATTTCACTTTCGTTAAATCCTCTATATATTTTATCATACTTATGATTTGTAACTATTTGATTAAAATATAAAATTTCAGAGCAACTGTTGCACCATTCCTGAACATTTTGTGTACAAAAATTCTTATCTTTTGATTCATGTCTACCACATTCTGTAAAATAATATTGGCTTATCAGTGCACCCAAATTGTTATTAGAAGTGTATTTAATATATAAGAATAAACAATGCCTGCAATATTTTTGTTTAAATAAAATAGTTGTAGAATATTTCCTTTTACAATAATAACATGTTTCTTCATTATTATTAAAAGGAATAAATATACCAATTGGTATTGATGGAATGGTAATATTTTCATCATTTTCTAAATAACTAATTTTTAAATATAAAACCAAATCTTTTAATATTTTTGAAGGAATACAAAGTTTATTTATGAAATTATATACTTCTAATGGATTAGAATTCTTATTAGCATAGTCCATATAATTGGCAATTTGATTGTAACAATTAGTTTTGATTTTCTTAACAAAAATTTCTTCTTCAGCATTTATAATATTAATAGTGATAGATAATATTATATTGCATTTTTTACATTGGGACTGGTTTGTAATTCCAAAAATAATATTTGTTGTTAAACAATACCTACATCCGATGTAAGTTATATAGCAAGACAAACAACATTTATAATAACTAGATTTAGATTCTAAGGATTGATCACAATAAATGCATTGATCAGAGGCATCCCACCAAGGTAAATAAAGAATTGGAATTGCTTTTTTGGTCAAAGTTGATTCTATCCATCCAGAAGAAACTTGACAACAATCTGAGCACAACTTAAATTCAATACTAGCATTTGATAAAATTTGTCCATTAACTAATTGTCCACATAAATTACAATATATTCCACTATTGTTGAATTTTATACTTTTCAAATAATCTAATTTATCATACTTATGATTTGTAACTATTTGACTAAAATATAAAATTTTGGAGCAACTATTGCACCATTTTTGAATATCTTGTCCACGAAAATTCAAGTATTTTGGTTCATGTTTTATACACAGAGTAATATTTGTTGTTGTATGTACATCTATGTTCATAATAGCTGTATTGTTGATATACATTAATAAGCAATTCTTGCAATATTTTTGACGAAAATAAATTGTTCTGAAGTAACCATATCTACAATAACTGCAATAACTATCACGATTATTAAAAGGAATAAACTGAATCGGTTCAGCACTGGATTTCAATCTTGACGTTGGATTAAAAGAGTTTTCATTATAAGTTCTAAGCTCCATTTTGTTATATTTAAGTTTTAAAAATAAATTAGAAAAAAAAGCTAAATTGAATATAATAATATTTCACCTGGAATCAGCTTTTATACATTAAATTTATTAAAAATTCAGTAACGGTCGATCTGCAGAATTTTCTATGCATTATGCAAATCAGCCGCTTTCATGATTAATACTTATTACGCCTTTTTACCAAAATAATATAAATAGCGTTTATTTACTTAATTTGTACATAAAACAAAGACCTGTCGACACGCATGTGGTGTTGTAGTTCCTACACAAAAATTTTGCTTTATTTTGTTTTTATTTAATCATACGTCCATTTCTTGATCACCGCAGTCCGGATATGCCGATCATTTGTCGATCACATTTTTTTTTAACAAAATACATCAATAAAAGTATGTTATATATATGTGATGATATGGAGTGTCGGATAAAAATTGATAGGCGAAGGTGAATACGCATGTGCGAGCACAATTTTACATATTGTTAAATATCTCACTACCTAGTGATCCAAAAAGTTGAAACACAGCTCATTCGATTCGTCTCGACGAGTCGAATGGTTGTAGTTTCGCACTCCTGTGCATGATAGATGGCGAACATGCCGAACAAAACTTAATTTTGCATAAGTATTCCCTATATTATAAACAATCTATAGTAAAAATAATACAGTAATTCAATAATACAGATTTTTCAAAATATGAAATTATTAAGTTGTACCATAAAATTTAATAAATTAATGCCACAAATTAATATACAAATTGTGACACAAAATTTATTAAATTAATTCCATTAAATTTCTAAATTGTGCTACAAAATTACGAAATTTAATAAATTTTTTGCTGCGAAATTAATGATATGGTATTTAATAAATAATGCTAATCACTATTAAGATCAGAAAATTAGTTTCCATTAATATAAAAAATAGACACCTTTTCAACATCAATAAATGATCCTGTAAATGATCGGCAATTTCATGATGATATAGAGATGTCCACCCTGTTGCAATAACCGAAATAGCCGAACTAAATATTATATGTTAATATTAAGCTCTAAAATCTGAAAAGATATTTCTTTATATTGCCTAATCTGTTCAATTTTTTTAAAAAAATTTTTTTCTATTGGTAAAACAAAGGCAAAAGAGTTGCACCGAAGAATTTTCTACGCATTATGCAAATCAGCCACAACGAATAATAGGAAAGATCAAAAAAGGGCATGAAAAGTCAAAAAAAAAAAAAATAATAATAATAGAATGAAAAAAGGAAATAGTTAAATTCCGATTAATTCCGGTATTCCGGTTTAAATGTAGATCGATGGAAATTTCTCGATTGATGTTAGGTAATCACGAAGTTAGATAGTACAAGCCAAGATTTAGAAAAAAACTGGGAACGTTATTAATTAATAAAAGGAATATACTAAGTGCTAATGTTAAGGACAATGCTTGAGAACAATGACGAAAGAAATTAGAGAAAATATAAACTTTGTTATATTTATTAAAATTAGTAATCATTGTTAGATAATAAAATAATTTGATAATCTATATATCCTATTGAAAAGATCGTAACGAGATTGACAAGTGAAGACGGACCGGAGAAAGCATGGAGAGCGAGAAATCCATAAGAACATTTGCATTAACTAATCACATTAGTTAGTCACAAATATTTTGAATTTAATTCATTCTCTTTTGTTATAGATTTATATTGTGTAGTGGACATAAGATATTGCCACAATTATAGTGAAATCACAGAAAATTTTGGTAAATAGAGAGGTATGTAATTAATTATACATATAATGTATTTCTTTCCTTTTGTCCCGTATTATGTCTTTGTAGCATAATAAACTTAATCATAATACAAAGCAAAAGACATTTCTTTAGTTAATTAATTAAATGGATAAATACATATGGATAAATTAAAATTATATGATTATTAGTAACTAGAATGAAATGATAATTTAATTTCTACGGTTTATGATAAATAATTGGCCTTTTCTATACGCGATCTACCAAAATTAAAAACAAAAATTTCAAAAATGAAACATATAACACCTTATACTAGCACGCTACGAAATACAAGATAAACTAAACATTAAAAAGTGTTTCGTTAAAAAAAAACGAAAAGCAAAATTTGAAAGTCATACTTTTGAAGTGGCAGCGCTCCCAAAACCTAAAAGAGAAAACTGCTAAAAACACTCGCTAGTTAAAATTCTTAGATTAAGAATAAAGTTACTACTTACTGAAAACCAATTTCCGAAGTAGTTCAAAAGTTAAAGAATTGGCCTTTAAATGAGGAGTAACTGAAGTGTGGATAAAAGTGAATTAACCGAAGCAAAAACTTATCAAGCGTTAATGGAAGTAAAGTTATAAAGAGAAAAAACGTCTCAAAGAATGAAAATTTAAGCGACAGATTGCCAAATTAAAGGATAGCCGATAGCGATAAATATTAAACGATGTTTTCGCATATTTTTAAACTACACCACATAATTAGTGAAATGTTAATGTTTCAAAAATCAGAATATTACTTTTGAAATTCCGTTAAAAACCATCAAGAAACAGTTTTTAAACTTATAATATAATTTATTAATATCAAATTTTCATTAATATAAAAAATTCTGGTAATATGTTTTTTCCACTATGAAATTCCTTATGAAAATATCCTAATACATATAAATTTTTAAAAAATAACATAAATATTCTAAAATAAAATGTCACTAAAGAAACAAAATCTTAAATTACATAATCGTTATAATTTTTTTTTAATTCCATAAAATTTAAATAGAACTATCAAATTCCAATATGTTTTAAGTAAGCTATTATTAAAATAAAATATTAATTAAAATTTAATTTTTAAAATAAATAATACAAAATAAAAAACAAATATATATAAAAAATATACCTTATCGTTCGTTATAAAATAATCAACTGAAATATTATGAGATCCATTGAAACCTTTTCAAAACAAATTTCATGGGTTCGAATACTCTTCTTTTCAAACTTTCATCATGTTGTTTAATATAATTTGCTTTACCATCAATCCATGTTTCTGAATATGCTTTGACAATTCCGCCTTCACCAATTTGTTTTATATCTTCAAATCTATCAAATGGTATCGATTCAAGAAATTTATCGTAAATTATATTTTTAATATAATTATTTTTACTGGTCCTTTCTTTTATTATGTAATATTTTTCATTTAATAATATTTCAGTTGAGGACTTGTCCATATTTATTTTTTTTTTTTTTTTTTTTTTTTTTTTTTTTTTTTTNTTTTTTTTAATTTCTTTTTTTTTTCTTTCTAATCAATAAGGATAAAAGGGGAAATAACATTCCAAAATTAGAATTTAGTAGATTTTTATGGAATAAATAAATAAGGTTGATCCGGATAAAACGGAGTTACTGATCCTGATCGACAATAATTCGGGGCTTAACAAATGCCGGTAAATCCTAATTTTGTGTCACCTGAAATATCATTTTACCTCGAAATTGCTACAAAATAATCAAATAATTATTTAATTCACCGAAAAAAACTCTTTTACCTAACTTTGTAAAAGAAGTATTTTATAATGTCACCAAGAAGAAATATTCTTCGTTCGCGTTACTGTATACACAAAAAAAATTATTAAAATAACAATTTAATTTATTTAAAGTTCACGGATAAGGATATTAATTTAGTTAAAATTATTAAACTTGCTAGTTGTTTATACTTGAATTATGAATTACAATAGGTAACAATATTTGTTAAGATTTCGTAACGTTGGCTGATGCATAAGATTTTATTGTAATCACATGATGATCAAAATTTGAGCACATGATATCAATTTTCAAATTGTAACGTAAGCATATTGTATATTTGATATTTTGACGTGAGTTTTATACTTAAACTTTCTGAAAACCTCGCTAACCAAAACAGACTTTATCAAAAAGAATATCATGTCCTTCATACTTCGTAACGATCTTTTTGAATTTTGTCACAAATTTTTATTCATCTTTAAAAGTTAATTAAAGGACAAACCTGCGAAATAATGACCTTCTAATTTAGTTATTAGGAGATTTTGATAGCTTTCTTTGTACAGCTTACACTCAGTTTAATGTAATTTCTGCCTTCTCATTCAACATACATAATTCTATTAATTCTTGTAGTTAGAAATGTAAATTTACGACTATATTTTCCGACTGTATAAATTATATTTATTATGGTATAGTACCGTGGCTTTTTATAGTATATAATTGAGTTATGATTTGTTTGCCATATTTTCGAAAAAAAAACTAAAGGTAAATTTGGAAAAATTATAAATTCATTGACATATTAATCCGATTGAAATTAATTTAATTTTACTTATAGGCCGAGAATGGAATTTTGAGTAAATCGTGTTTACTCAAAATAGGATATAATATAGTTGCTGTTAAAACATTAAGCATTGACCGATTGACGTTAAAAGAATACATTATATTTAGTTAGCATGATTTTCAAATAAGCAAATTATTATAATGTATATTTTTTATTTTAATAAAATTCATATCACATAACATAATCGCGATTTTGTGTTGCACAAAAGTAGTTATTTTCATTTTATTGACGTCAATTTAATTGCGTATACTAGTGATTTTGAAACTTGATGAGATGATCCTATTCTTGTTATCAAATTAATTAAATTTGTAATACATGTAGTAACTTTATTTGTTACTTTATTTGTTATTTAAATATATATGATATTGGAAAAATATTTATTATGTTCGTTCTCATACACGATATTTTTTTTTTTTTACAATGAAATTTTGTTTTAGAAATAATTTTTGATTAAATTTAACGTTATTATTAATAATTAAACTTTTTATATATAATCAATCAGGCTCTGTAAAAGACAACTGTAGTCGTGAAACCAAAAATAAAAAAAAAAATTATGATCGTACGAAAGTTTACGTTACAACACTTTTATACAGTAAAAACAACTATTAGGCCGTTATATATATTATACAAAAAAAGAGTAAAGTTTTTTTTTAAAAAAAAAGAAAATTACAGTTTTATTTTCTCTTAATATTCTCTTCCTTTTTTTTTTATTGCATCATCTTTATCAATTTCATTTCTCATGTACGTTTAAATCACGAGGTTGATACAAAAATCACGTAAATCATTCCTTTTTAGTTAATGCCGGGTTGAAATCTATTACTTTTCTTGGACACTAACCGAAATCATCATAATTGTGGCCCGAAAAAGCACGTACAGCAGTCGTACAGCTAATGGTAAAGCTACCTTCTGACTTTTTATATACATTTCGGGGTCCTTCTTTAATATCAAAATAATTACTGTTAGAATATAATCTTTCAAACTAGTATATCTCTACACAAACAACATAAAAGCTAATTACTGTGTTTCCAATTTTTTATAAAAAGATTTATAATAAAATTCCAAAAAAATAGCTTATTTACACTCATCTTTCTTTTCCATACCAGATTGCGAGTGGATGGGTTTAAAAATGTAATCAATATTAGTTCGATTTATACCTGACTTTTATCCTGGTATTCAAATATACTATTATAAAAATGTAGATAAATTAATTAATTATTATTGACATTCTGTTATTAAATAATTGATCTAATTGATCTGAATTGATATTATAAAAAAAAATAAAAATATATTTGTGAAAATAATTTCTTTCACAATAAATTATTAATTAAATCGAATTATTATTTTGTTTCATCATATTACTTTTATGAAAAGAACAAAATATCTCTAAAAAATTGAAGGATTAAAATTCACAAGTTTACAAATTCAAGAATTATTGTATCATGAATCTTTATGATAACGAGTAATAATCAATCACGAAATTCTTGTAGTAAACCTAAAAAATAAATTTATGATTGTATGTGATTTATTACTAATTTAGTAATATATTTATAAGATACACGTTTAAAAATTATGATTCTAGACATCGATATCAAACATATAGTAAATAGGACCCGAAGTATACTTAAAAAGGTCAGGCTCGAATTTGCGTAGAGCCAACCAAGAAAAAATCATGAAAACCTTTCCTTTTATAGATAATTGATGGAAAACTATTACTTTTTTGGGAACAGACCGAAATTATCATCTAGAAAAAGTTTTACATATATACATCATTATACATTGAACTATTGAGTCACGTTTGTGTAGCAGACACAAATTCCTATGTAAAACTGAAGTCATGTAAAATAATATGATGTAATAGTCAAATTAGTGACTCTCTCTCTCTATAAATATTACTTTTTTCTCCCTTTTAGATTCTCTTTTATTTCTAAAAAAAAAAAAAAAAAAAAANAAAAAAAAAAAAATGTCAAAATTAAATCATGATGTTCTTTATGAAATTTTTCAAAATTTACAAGACTTAATTAATATGACATATACAAATGATCCGGATAATTTAAATAAAATGATAAATTATAAAGAATTTCTACGTTCTCAATTTTCTTGTTTGTTAGTTAACAAGAATTGGTGTGGAGTCATGATTCCATTTTTATGGAGTAATCCTTTTAAATATGCCTATAAAGCTCATATAAAGAGTTCATTATTCAAAATTATCATTTCACATTTACCGGATAATTCAATTAAATTATTAAAAGATGAAAATATCATTGAAACAAATTTTCAAAAGCTAAAACTTTCATTTAATTATGTTAGATTTTGTAAATATTTTAATGATATTCATAATACCTGTACTGAAATTTTATTGAGAGAAGAAATTTATAAGTTTTTTATTAGTGAATGTTCATCTATAAAATCTTTAAATACAAAAATGATATGTTATCCAATATTAAAATATCCAGGAGCAAATATTTCTCTTTCAAATCTTTATGAGTTAGATTGTATTACAAATTATCAAGATTTTTATTATGAATTGGCACAAATGTGCAAATCAATAGAAAAAATTCATGTAGTAAATGATTACTATGAAGAATCTTTTGGAGTCGTTAAATTAATTGAAATGCAAACACAAATTAAATACGTGTTTATAGATGGATTTTATGATGAATGCAAAAAGATTATTCAGGCTTTAGAAAAACATGTAAATTCAATTATTCATTTAGAAATTACTGAATATACATCTGCCATACATTTTCTCATTCTAAAATTAATTAATCTACGATATTTAAAAGTACTATATAATGGTTATTGGATACTAGAGAAGTATGTAATATATTTAAATTATCATAACCTTCGAGTACTTGATTTGCATCACATATCACTTGATATAGCTATAAATATTATTAAAAATACTAATGGAAATCTTTGGAAAATTAGGATTGGAAATACTAAATATTATGATAAGACAAAAGAATATAATCAGACAATACACAAATATTGTCCAAATATAAAATATGTAACAGTATTTTTGGATAGAGATGGAACCCTGGAAGGATTAGAGAAAATCTTCATCAAATGTCAACACTTGGAAGCAATAGATATAAATAAAGAAATTAATTATAAATATATTGATAAATTTCTGAATTTGTTGCTTGAATTAGCTCCACTCACTTTATGCAAAATTCACATTTATGATATATCTAATTGCTTTGATTCTGATGAATCTTTAAAATTATTTCTTATTAATTGGGGTCATCATAAAGGTAAAAAAACTTTACATTTATATTGTGATAGTGATTATACAGACATAATTAGAGATATTATACATAAATATGATATTAAGGATTTTTGGAATTATTATATTTCATGGTAATATACATGAGTATGTATGCAGAGAAAATGAAATTAATATAATTCATATTAGGATGAGTAGTAATATATTTGTTTGTATAAGATAAATAAAATGAGTTATTAAAATTTTAGAAAAATAAAGCAAATTTAAACTTTTGAAGTTTTTATACTTTTAAGAATATCAAATTTTAAGAAGTATAAAGTAGTGGTTAATGGCATATATAATTCATATTCCTGTCATAAGTCATAACAGTTATTATTATGATAATTTCAATATCTAAAAGAATTCTTATTAAATAGTTTATTTTATGCGAGAAATTGAGTATGAAACAAAATGTTTTAAAGTAATAAAATCATAATTTCACAAATAACTAAGATTTATAATAAAATTCCAAAAAATAACTATTTACACTCATCTTTTCTTTTCCATACTAGATTACGGTGGATGGGTTTAAAAATGTAATCAATATTCTTTCGATTTACATCCTGATATTCAAATTTACTATTATAAAAATGAAGAATATTGAAGATAAAACTAATTAATTATTAATTGTCATTCTGTTATTAAATAATTGATCTGAAAATTGATATTATAAAAAAGTAAAAATAGATTGGAGAATATATTAATTAAAATGAATACTATTTTGTTTCATCATATTACTTTTATGAAGAGAACAAATATCTAAAAAATTGATGGCTTAAAATTCACAAGTTTACAAATTCAGAATTATTGTATTATGGATCTTTATGACAACGAGTAATAATCAATCACGAAATTCTTTGAGTAAATCTAAAAATAAATTTATGATGATTGTATATAATTTATTACTAATTTAGTAATATATTTATAGATACACGTTTAAAAATTATGATTCTAGACATATCAAACATGTAGATAAGACCCTTTAAAAGGGCATTTCGAATTTGCGTAGAGCCAACCAAGAAAAAATCATGAAAACCTTTCCTTTTATAGATAATTGATGGAAAACTATTACTTTTTTGGGAACAGACCGAAATTATCATCTAGAAAAAGTTTTACATATATACATATATTATACATTGAACTATTGAGTCACGTTTGTGTAGCAGACACAAATTCCTATGTAAAACTGAAGTCATATAAAATAATTTGATGTAATAGTCAACTTAGTGACTCTCTATAAATATTACTTTTTTCTCCCTTTTAGATTCTCTTTTATTTCTAAAAAAAAAAAAATGTCAAAATTAAATCATGATGTTCTTTATGAAATTTTTCAAAATTTACAAGACTTAATTAATATGACATGTACAAATGATCCGGATAATTTAAATAAAATGATAAATTATAAAGAATTTCTACGTTCTCAGTTTTCTTGTTTGTTAGTTAACAAGAATTGGTGTGAAGTCATGATTCCATTTTTATGGAGTAATCCTTTTGAATATGCCTATAAAACTCATATAAAGAGTTCATTATTCAAAATTATCATTTCACATTTATCAGATAATTCAATTAAATTATTAAAAGATGAAAATATCATTGAAACAAATTTTCAAAAGCTAAAACTTTCATTTAATTATGTTAGATTTTGCAAATATCTTAATGATATTCATTATATCTGTACTAAAAGGTTATTGGAAGAAGAAGTTTATAAGTTTTTTATTAGTGAATGTTCATCTATAAAATCTTTGAATTCAAAAATGTTATTATATTATCCAATATTAAAATATCCAGGTGCAAATATTTCTCTTTCAAATCTTTATGAGTTATATAGTATTACATATGATCAAGATTTTTATTATGGATTGGCACAAATATGCAAATCAATAGAAAAACTTCATGTAGTAATTGATTATGAAGAATCTCCTGGAGTTGTTAAATTAATTGAAATGCAAACACAAATTAAATACGTGTTTTTAGATGGATATTATGAATGCAAAAAGATTATTCAGGCTTTAGAAAAACATGTAAATTTAATTATTCATTTAGAAATGGCTCAATATACATCTTCTATACATTTTCTCATTCCAAAATTAATTAATCTACGATATTTAAAAGTAGTTGATTATTATTATAATTGTACACTAAAGAAGTATGTAATATATTTAAATCATCATAACCTTCAAGTACTTGATTTGCATCGCATATCACTTGATATAGCTATAAATATTATTAAAAGTACCAATGGAAATCTTTGGAAAATTAGGATTGGATATACTCATCAATATTATGATAAGGCAAAAGAATATAATCAGACAATACACAAATATTGTCCAAATATAAAATATGTGACAGTATTTTTGAATGAAGGTGGAACCCTGGAAGAATTAGAGAAAATTTTCATCAAATGTCAACACTTGGAAGCAATATATATATATAAAAAAATTAATTATAAATATATTGATAAATTTCTAAATTTGTTGCTTGAATCAGCTCCACTCACTCTATGCAAAATTCATATTTGTAATATATCTGATTGCTTTAGTTCTAATGAATCTTTAAAATTATTTCTTATTGATTGGGGTCATCATAAAGGTAAAAAAACTTTACATTTATATAGTAGTGATACAGGGATAAATAGAGATATTGTACATAAATATGATATTAAGGATTTTTGGAATTATTATATTTCATGGTAATATACATGAGTATACAGAGAAAATGAAATCAATATAATTCATATTAGGAGGAGTAGTAATATATTTGTTTGTATAACATAAATAAAATAAGCCATTAAAATTTTAGAAAAATAAAGAAAATTTTAAACTTCTGATGATTTTATACTTTTAAGATGTCAAATTTTGAGAAGTTTAAATTTGTTATTAATAGCATATATAATTCAAAAGTATTTTTGAATAAAGATGGAACTCTGGAAGAATTAGAAAAAATTTTTTTCAAATGTCAACACTTGGAAGCAATATGTATGGATGATAAAATTAATTATACTGTAAATATATTGATAAATTTCTGGAATTGTTTCTTGAATCAGCTCCACTCAAAATTCATATTTATAATATATCTAGGTATTTTATTACTCAATCTTTAAAATTATTTGTTATTAATTGGTGTCTCAGCGTAAAGGTAAAAAAACTTTGCAGTTATATTATCAATTTATTGATTGTCCCAGAGATAGTGATATTGCACATATGACATTGATGATTTTGGAATTATTATATCACATGGCCATTTAAATGTAATTATATATAGCATAAAAATGTAAATAAAAAGAAGTGAATGAATTTGATTAGGAATTATGAAATTGCATGGAAAGAAAATGTAGTCAATAGTAAAATATTTTAGTGTATAATATAAAAAATAAAGTATAAAATTAAATTTTTAATGTTTTTATACTTTAAAAACTGAATGATTTAAACTAATTTAATTAATAACATATATAATGTCATAAGTTATAACAGTTATCATTATAATAATTTTAACAACTTTTAGAAGCTCCATCATCAATTAAACTTTTGATAAATATCATACTAAATTTATTCTGTGAAAAATGAGTTTAAAATAAAAGTTTCAAAATAAATAAAACCATAGTTGCATGAACTATTTTCCAGTATACATCTTTATCAACCTACAGTAATATCTGACCACTTCTCATTTTTTTTTTTTTAAAAAAAAAAACTTTATATTTTAAATAAGAGTAGGCAATAACAAAAAAATACCGAAGAAAATAAATTTGATACTTCAGAATAACATCAATAGATAGTTTATTTCCTGGGAATAAATTTTTTATCTTTTTCAGCTTTATTAAAGAATAAAATAATTGAGCCTAACACTTAGTATTACCTAACACATGCATTATTACTCTAAAATCTAAATGGATAATATTTTTCATGATTATTAATAACAATAAATCTGTTTAAAATTTATTTATATATAATAAGAAAGTAGTAAAACTTTTAAAATTTGTTTTATTAGTCTGTGTAATATTTATTACTAGTTTTTCCTATTATGAAATTGTTACAACAAATGGAAAATCAAAATGTGGAATAGTACACTATGTAATATGACTGAACTTGTTAAAATAATGATTGATAACTATAATCAACTTTGTAATTTTTTCTCAATGTGATTGCTTAATAATTATTATGATACAATTTATTAGTAAAAATAATTTCTCATTTCTTTTTGCTCTTTTTCTTTTTATTTCTGGAAAAAAAAAAATGTCAAAATTAAATCATGATGTACTTAATTATATCTTTCAAGATTTATTTAACTTAATTAGTACCAATTCAAATAATGAAGAAAAATACAATAAATCTCTACATTCTTGTTTGCTAGTAAATAAACTTTGGTGTGAAATTATGATTCCAATTTTATGGAGTTATCCTTGCAAATATGTTTTTAAAAAAAATTTATTGTTCAATATTATCATTTCACATTTACCAGATAATACAATTAATAATATCATTTCGAATTTACCAGATAATACAAATAAAACTTTGAAAGATAAAAATATCATTGAAACGAATTTCAAAAAGCAAAAACTTTCATTTAATTATGTTAGATTTTGTAAATATCTTAATGATATTCATGAGATTTTTCCAATCGATTCAATTTTATTGAGAGAAGAACTTTATAAGCTTTTTATTAGTGAATGTTCATTTATAAAATGTTTAAGTCTTGATATGTTAAGTTATAATATATATAAATATCCAGGAGCAAATATTTCTCTTTCAAATCTATATGAGATATATTGTTATCATAAAATTGATCAGGATTTTTGTCATGGGTTGGCACAAATATGCAGATCAATAGAAAAAATTTATGTGAAAATTTATGGTGAAAAAAGTTCTGGAGTTGCTAAATTAATTGAGATGCAAAATCAGATTAAATACATATTTATAGATGGACCTTTTAATTGCAAGGAGATAGTTCAGGCTTTAGAAAAACATGTAAATTCAATTATTCATTTAGAAATGACTCAATATACATCTACTATACATTTTCTCATTCCAAAATTAATTAATCTACAATATTTAAAAGTAGATGATAATTATTGTGAACTAAAGAAATATGTAGTATATTTAAATCATTATAACCTTAAAGCACTTGATTTATGTTTCTTATCTTCACTTGATATAGCTATAAGTATTATTAAAAATACCAATGGAAATCTTTGGAGAATTAGAATTGAAAATACTGATAATACTGATAAGGCAAAAGAATATAATAAGACAATACACAAATATTGTCCAAATATAAAATATGTAACAGTATTTTTGAATAGAGATGGAACCCTGAAAGAATTAAAAAAAAATTTCATCAAATGTCAACACTTGGAAGCAATAGATATAAATGATGAAATTAATACTAAATATATTGATGAATTAATAGATTTGTTAGCTGAATTCGCTTCACCCACTTTATGCAAAATTCACATTGATAATATTAAAAGCTATTATGATGAACAAACTTTAAACTATTTTCTTATTAATTGGGGTAATCGTATACTAGGTAAAAAAACTTCCCCTTTATATAGTAATGTTTATTATCAAGATTTTGCACACATATATAATAATGATTTTTGGAATAATTATATTACATGGAATTATAAAGTCCGTACAGCAAAAAGAGTCCGGTGTTTAGTAGTGAGATAAATAGAAGAAATGGATGAATTTGATTATTAATATAAAGAAATTGTGAAATTGCATAATTACATTGGAAGAAAATAGTAATAGTATATTTGCGTGTATAATATAAATGATTTTTGTTTATATTTCCAAAGGTGATTTCACAATATGATTTTGAAAAATTATTATATTAATAAAATGATCAAATTACGTGAAAAAACTACATGTCAAAACTTTTACTTGATTTACATGCATAAATTAATCTTTAGATTCTATCTGTAAAAAAATATAATTAACAATTAAAATAAATTGAAATAATAAAAACTATAGTTTCTTTCGAGATTTGCAAAAAAAAAAAAAAAATTGTAAAAATAAGATTCATCGAATGTATGATATTTGAAAATATACGATATCAAAATATACTATTGTCATATTTTATATCCATTTTTCATTTTCTTTAGTATTTATATCAAGATATAGTCATTGAATTAATTATAATATTTATTGGTTAAAACCGTTTTGTGCAACATTAATCGTCTAAACATTCTATGATAAAGCAAAAACGTTTTTTATGATATTATTTATATTTCAGCTAAAATAGAAATAAAATAGCTTAAATAGTAATTAATTAAAATACCACTTATTTAGTATTTTTTTAGTCATTGTTTCTAAAATTTCTCTGATGTTTTTTTTTGTAAGAAACAATTTAATAAACCATAAGTAGATAAGTAGCCATAAATATGTTAGTACATCACGAAAGTAGTTGAATAATATGTCAATAAATTCAACCAAATATAAATCAACATAATTAGTTTAAATATATTCAGTATTAGTAAAATAATACTATAGCAAATTGATAAAAGTTATATTTGTAAAATTAAAAATATTTCTTTATTGCGAACATTTGAAAATTGAAATACTATTTGTTCAATTATACTAATTATACTGAATAATCGACACACAGTAGAATGTATAGTTAAACCAGAAAATTATTTTATAAAATTATAAACCACTAGTGATAGCAATAGCTGCTTCACTTACCACAATCTATTAAAAAGCTTGATGAATAAAAAAACAAGTACACTGTGTAATTCAAAACAAAAATCAATTACATAATGATTTACAAGAAAAATATGCAATTAACAAACAAGCATCAATTAAACTGTTGAAAAGTGAAAGGGATTGAAGAAAATATGCCCAATTAGAAAATAAAATTAAGTTGCAAGGGCAGAAGATTCGACAAAACCAGTTACAATATAATTTATATAAAAAAAATGCCAATTTAATTAACCAATTGGAAAACCTTTTCAAGCAAAATACCTTATTAGATGAATTGCAAAATTATTAATTAGAAAATGCTAACTGAAATTGTGTTATGATTTTAAATAGTGGATTTTATAACTAAATAATGACTTAAAAAATATATATTGTTGGTTTAATATTGAAGGGATCACATTATTTCAATTAAAATTACAAATCAAAAGGTTGATTAGTTACTTATTCAAGCAGTTTTGCAACGTTATATTATTGGAAAAGTGCAGGACAAAATTGTCATTTCGAATCAGATGTTATTAATAAAGAATCTCCATTATTTAATATCTCTATATATCATACTGGAAATGACATGAAGCATCAATAAAAATTCCATTTGACCCTTAATAACTGCGGATTTTCCAATATGGAGAAAATAAGACTAAATATGAGCATCCTTTTATTGACGATTGTAAAAAAAATACTATCCACTGTTAAACAACTATAATTTGTGAAGCTATAAAGGTATTTGATATTTCCGAAACCTATTTTGGTCATGCGATGGAATAAATCAATAAAATTGACCAATTAAGTCGAAGATATAAATCACGTGCCATGATCATATAACTTATAAATAAGTAATTGATGATGATACACAGAAATAGTAAACTCTCTCCCCTTTTTTTTATTTTTGTTTGTTTTCCGCAGTAATTTTGCGAAGTTTAGTTTTTTTAGTTTCTATTTGAAACGCCAAAGGGTGAGAGGTCCATACGGGCGCCTCTGTCTTATATGAGGTTTTTAGTTATTTTTATATCCTATATTATAAAGGAATATGTCTTCTACACCTTTATCGAACTAGACTGGTCTTCCACTCCACAACATTCGTATGTTCAACTCGGTGACTCTACACCACCTGAAAATAACTCAGATGATATATCATATAATACTGAGCGGCCAGCATTACTTTCCGCTAAGGATGTCCTTTCTCTTGATATTGATGATATCTATCCTTATACGTACTCAACTCTTCATTTTGAAGACAACGATACGGAAAATATATATGACGACGAAGACTACTTTCAACAGCTATTACAGGCTAATTTAAACGCTGAAATAGAAGTAATTAGCGTAGTCAGAAATGATAAACCTCCCGTTGACGACACTCCTTTAACTCCCATACAGGAGATTAATCCTATACCACCTTTGGATACTGCACCTCTTTTAGATAATATACCTATAGTCGAGAACATTAATCCTATACCATCTTTGGATACTGTGCCTCTTTTAGAAAACTTACCCATAGTTGAGAACATCATTTCTATACCACCTCTGGATACTGTGTCTCTTTTAGAAAATTTACCTATAGTCGAGAACATTAATTCCATACCACCTTTGGATACTGCGCCTCTCATAGAAAATTTACTGATAGTTGAGAAAAAAAATACTTTGCTGGTCTCCCTGAAAAAATTTCACGTGACTACGCCAAAACGTTCTGGTTATAACAAGATTTATGAAATTCGGCGCTCTAGGAGTTTCTTTTTTGAGCTTGCAGATCATAATCAAAACACCAATGAAATTCATTTGAAGATACACACAAATGATTATCACATGAAAACTAAACCGATTAGTTATAATAACACTAGTTCATTCCCCAATGACAAATATCAAATCAGCTGCATGCTTACACATTTTTTCACCTCACAAAGAGTCATCCCACGTCGAATACAAGACAAATATTTTAATTTCTTACGTAATAAATTATTGGATAGAATTAAAATAATAAGATCACGTGCTACTAGCACTTCTAATCGAAATTATTCTACGAAAACATTTTTTAATTTTATTCATAAGAAACGTCATTTTTACTTTGGCATTTATATTCCTTGCCCCTATATTAATGACCCTGAACATTTTCATAATGACACACCATGTAATATCCCTACTCCTTTCGTCATGTCGCACAATAGACGCTCATGCGTTATGCATCAACATACCTTCTCACAAAAGCATTGTTTTAAAAATATTAAAAAGAAACATGAATCCAAATTGGATGATATTCCTACAGATTTCTTCAATGACAAATCATCTCACGCCAATTTATTATATTACAGATGGCTTAATGGTAAATCAAAACATATTACCTCTAGACAACTGGGTATTTCGTATAACAGCAATATTCAAGCTAGAGATCCCTCTACAACTTTCAAAAAAGGCAAAAAATACATGTATCGAAAATGCTTAGCCAAGCTCGAACATAGTTGGTCTCCTAATTTACGTACACAAAAACAACAAGATATACGTTTCAAGCGCTCTTGCCGTCGTGTTTTTAATAAATTGCGTCCACCACCTGATCATAAGGTCAATAACCAGGATTATTTAGCGATTGCACGCAGACATCATTTTCTATTCATGAAATCTCAAAAGATTAATGCACCTGTTCGACACTTATCGTACAAACAATGTGATTCAATCCTGAACGCTAACGACTATTCGTTCTTGGTTCCTTACTTCACTACGGACTTCAACCACAAGCAACAAATCATGACAAAACTCACTCAAGCATCATCATCTACTGGCCCTTCTGCACCGCCTGAGAATTATGATCCAATTCCGGATGTGTTCATTCCTAAAAAATACCATGATATTATACCTAAGGACCCGATTTATGTGAATAATCGTTATGTGGTTCCTGGATCTAGAGAATGGTTTACTTATATGTATAACGTTGATGAATCTTATTATCCACCAGAGAGTAGTACCCCTCGTTACAACGCTAAAGGGAAATATATCGCAAGAACTCCTATATACCGATCAGGAGTAGTAGAAAATTACGTACCATCTTATATCGTAGAAAAATCTCAATTACGGAGAATGGAAAAAATAAGAGAGGAAGCTTTAACAAAAGAGGCAGCATATCATGGAACTACCTTCAAGCATTATAATGCTCGTGCTAACATTATTAAATCCTTAACAGACGCATCATTTCATTTTCACGAACGAACACCTAGTTATTTGGCCAGAAGACTAGAAAATCACAATTCAGGTTTTAGTAATACCACGTTAGATAAAAATCATAATAAGGGTCTCAAGAAAAATAATCTCCGAACCCAAGGGGCTATCCGATTTCCTACGCATCACTATATTGATGTATCAGATGATACAGCAGAGGTCGAATATCGACCAACAAACGTGATAATATTAATAATGAGAATCATTATTTCTCATTTCTGGATCATAACATGAAAAGACTACGTCCTTCACCAGATACTACCGATGACTCCCTGGTACCAGGACCTTCAAGTTCTAAGACAGTTTAATTAATTATATATATATATTAGTACTCTTTTATTTGGAGTTTTTACATTTATCTAGTAGTTTAATCTACATTTTCAGTTCTTTTTTCGTTATCATAAGTATAACACAACTTAAAATAGTGTGAAACATTCCACCTTTTACAGTATTTACAGGTGGCAACCTTGGTTGAAAGGAAAATACGGATCATTATTTTTTTCTATTTTGATTGTTTTTTAGATAGCCGCTAGTCTCTCAGATGGATTCTTTATAGTTCCCATTTGATTTATTAGCGTAGTCCTACTTTATCAAATAGTACAGATCGAAGAGTGGGGTCCCGTAGGGGATGACGAACAAAGGTCTATACACATATATTAGTCTTAAGTCTTTTCAAACTCTTTCCTCTTCTATTTGTAATAGCCTGGGTTTTAACACTCTTTTAGTAATAAAATAAATAAATAAATAAATAATACACAGAAATAGTTAGTTTTACACATATGTACTATACACTTTGCAGCGAAAATTTTCCTACCATAAAATTAATATATATAAAAAGAAAAATAATCATAAAAACGTTTTTGATGCATGGAGGCAAAAGAGAGAGATAATAGAAACTCCTTCAAAAAAAGGAACCAATGTGTCCAATGAGCAATGCAAGTGATTATAGTCCTATGAATTTTAAATTTTTAAAAAAAACTCTTTTATTTTTTACTGTGTATAAAGTATAATTTATATAAAATAAAATCATTTAATAAATTTTCATTCAATAAAGGTTTAAAATTTTACATAAATTTTACATAATTTATTGTACGATATCCCTCTAACCAATGAGAAGTTTTGATAGGTTTCGCCCACATCACTTCTTGAGATATCTAATTTTTTACAGGTAAGTTAAATCTAAACAAATTATAACAATACATTAACGGTCATAAATTGTTATTAAGAAGTCTGATTCATAATATTTTTGTAATCCAATAAATAAAAGGAATAGTTCCTTAACATGTGAATTATTTTTATCATTTACCCAATTTAAATGATTAAAATATAAAAAATTAACTACTAAATTATAAATAAATTTATTTAAATTTAAATTAATCATTTATTTTGTATGAGTTTATTTTCTTAAGCACTTACAGCATTTCACAGAAATATCGTAGACGTTTAACAAAGTAATTTTGCGTAAACGATACAAAAAGCAATTTTTAAGACCTTATTTACTTATTTACAGTATTAAATAATGCTTATATTTGCATATAATATAAACAATGATAAATATGATATTAAATATGGTAACCTTTGTTGTGATATAATGAATCATAACAATATTCATGCAAATTATATTAATGAATTTTATCAGTATCAAGTAATGTGTGATATTTATGGCATGGTTAAAAGATTTCTGCAAAGTATATTATTAGAATTTAATGAAAATGAGAAAGAAAATCAAAAATACCACAATACGTTAGATTAAATATATTACAATAAAAATATATTAATATTTATTTTTTTTCTATTATTGCATTTGTTTTTTTTTTTTTTGTTTTATTCATAAAATTCAGCTAATCTATAGTTATTTATTAATATGCTGCTTCCATAAAAAATATATTTACATACATATTCCATCAAACCAATTTTCAGTTTTTTGTTTTAAAAAAAGAAAGTTTCTATTTAAAATTTAGAATAGGTTAAAATTTAGTAGATATATTAATTATTAAATTGCTAAAAAGAATATGAGGATAGTATCAGGATATATGTAATTATTAGTAAATGGCTATCATGGTAAAATGTTCCTTTATATATACATTTTTTTTTTTAAATTAAAGATGCGTCACGAAAAAATTGGAATAAACAATTTGTTGGTAATTTGTAAACAGCCTGCTTCATTATTAATACTTATTCTTGGAATTATGTAATTTATGTAAATTGCAAAAAGGTTATGATTTGAAAATTCTTTTATCATCAATTTACAACGCTAAAAAGTAAAAATAAGCAATTTACCGCAGCACGCCACCGGAAGTTTAAATATATTTTTTAAGGCGTGGTAACACAATGTAAAATTAGATAATTAACTGTAAAGATAATAATTTAAAAATGTTAGTTTGGAGCACGATTATAATAGCACATGATCATAAATGAAAGCAAATTTTAATTTAGATATAAATCAACATTACATATACTTTGTATAAAATATTTTAATGCATTAAACTATTTGGTTGGCTAAATTAACTGATAAAGCAGTTGAATGATCAGTTATAATAACTTTTGACATCCCTAAACCCTAATCCTTAAAATTAACTTCTATTATTAAACGTCCTATTGCTTTTTATTAAATAAAATCATTATTATTCGTAATCATTTTCAGATAAATTTTTTGATATTGTTATATCTTTTGATAAATCTTCATGTAGTTCCGATTTATAAGTACTTAGAGAAGACTTAAGATCTTTGAAAATATTCAATTCATCAAAATTATTCATAAGCAGGGATAATTCTCCATGTAGTTCCGATTTATTAATACTTAGTACTAGGCCTTTAAAATCATTCGAATTAAGTTCTTGTTTGCTTGATGATTGAAGATTTTTTGTTATTATGTTTGTTCTTGTATTATTTGCTTTTAACAAATCAGATACTTGATATATGGTCGGACAATTATCAGGTTCACCATCCAACATTATATTATAATAATAAAATAATGCTTATATTATAATTAATTTAAGATTTTACTTACTGGTATAGATTCCCACATAATTTTCAGGTGTACCAGGAACAACAGCTTCTCTAAGATTTTTTTGTGAGATATCCGAAGCTAAATCAAGATCATATTTTTCATCACAAAATGGTAGCCGGCCACTAGATATTTCCCACAATAATACGCCAACACTATAGAGTATAGATATCGCTTTTTCATCATTATCTTTTTGTCCGTTAATTACTTTTGGTCAATACAAGGAACCATGCCAAATACTTTTTTTTTGTAAATTGGATAATGATTTTTAGACAATCCAAAATCTGCTAATTTAATCGTTTTTTGATGGACTAATATATTTCCAGAGTGCTAAAAAAACAACAATTAAATGAGGAATTCTTTGTTGATAGTTAATTTAATAAAATGCCATTGATAACTAAATAACATAAATTAAATAACATAAATTACCAAAATCACAATGCACAATACCCTATTATGTAAGCATAATACACCACAAGCTAACTGGTAGTTTCGAAGGCTACCACCATCGCGTATTCCATTACTATCATATAACATAATATTATTGGTATAATTTTCTTATACACATAATAACCATATGTCAAAAATTAATTATGTTTTCGATATAAAGATGACTTATTATATTTAATTAATATATCAAAACAAACTATTAATCATTGTCGGATTAATAAATGACAAAAATTAAGTCATTGCTGGCTAATATCATAATGATATAACTTTAGTAAGTATATATTATGACTAATATGCATACTTTTACTTTATTAGGAAATATTACTGTGTTATTATAATGAGTAAAACCGATTATTCATTAAAACTCTTATGATTTATAATTTGTAGACAGTATGACTTGAATTGACACACTGAGTCATAGTTACATTTAGTTACATTACATTACTAATATCACATGATGAGAAAAATAATATAAAAGAGGACAAAATCTTAGTATTTTGAAATTAGAATTTTTTTTTTCAAGAACGCGTTTGATTTTATTATTAATTAATTTAAATTTATTAAAAAAAAAACAATGACCAGACATCATAATAAGAAATCATTTTTAAGTCAAACAAAATATGATATTCAAATGCGGGCAAGGGCTATTGAACATAGAAGAAAGACCACTATGTATGGTAAGTACAAAGGGATGGTGCGCACTGCAGGGTTCACGATCGGGCTAGTTTCTTCCCAATTGCATCCAAGGTTACAGCCTAAACGGAGTCTTACTTAGTTATTTTTGTAACTAATTCCTTTTTAATTCTTTAAAATTTATAGGACACGCTCAAGGTAAAATAATAGGAGAAGACACTATGTATGGTGAGTATGAAGAGATGGTGCGCACTGCAGGGTTCACGATCGGGCTAGTTTCTTCCCAATTGCATCCAAGGTTACAGCCTGAACGGAGTCTTACTTAGTTATTTTTGTAACTAATTCTTTTTTTATTTCTTTAAAATTTGTAGGGAACGCTCAAGGAAAGATTGGAGAAGATAGAGAAGACACTATATATGGTAAGTATGAAAGGGATGATGTGCACTGCAGGTACACGAACCTTCCCAATTGCATCCAAGGTTACAGCAATGGCTCATAAATTACATATTGTAATATTTAAAAAAACACTATTTTTTTGTTTAACATTAAACGTCAAATTTTTGTAAGATTATTTATCGAAATTTTTAATTTTTGCTAATATTTATGTGTTATAATATTATTATAATACTTGATTTACCAAAAAACAAAATGCACACCGTGCATTGAATATTCGTTGTTCTGCATAAATACATCATTGCACACTTTTAGTAAGAATTTTCCGTGTTGTTGATCAACTATTGCGACAGCGTCCTTTTGTGCAAATTAATATGGCTGGGCTAATGATGAACCGATTCTGCGCCAAAAAAATATGATATTTATTTACTGCAATTTCTTTCTTTTTCATTTTTTTTCAAAAATGGGTTATAATAAGCTTATCAAAATTGGCAGAAAATATACTCGAAATTTTAGACGATGATGAATATTATGATATTACAGTTGAAGTTGGTAATGACCTTAACGTAAGAATATTTCGTGCTCATATGGTTATTTTAAAATATCATTCTTCTTATTTGCAAAGAATACGACCAATAAAAAAATTGATTAGAACTTTGACAAGTATTAAATTACCAAACATTTTACCTGAGACTTTTCAAATAGTATTAAGGTAAAAGTAAAAGATAATGTAAAATTAAATATATTTATTTTTTTTTTTTACTTACAATCGTTTTATTTTAGATATATTTATGGGGGAAAATTTCTTTGCATGACAAATTTTTCTTTGTTTGACCCATATTATCCTTAACTTTTTTGTGAGATAAACTTGTGTCAACTTGTTCTTTCTTCTTTTCTAGATCCTTGAATTTTTCAGTAATAATTCTTTTTCTAATCTCATTCGTTCTTTAACCATTACATCAACTTCTAACCCCTGAATATGATTTTCTAAATTTGTAATTTTTCTTCATATTCCTTTATTATTCATTTCTTGGTGATTACCTCATATTCTAAATTCCTAATTGTATCTTTATTCTTCATTATTGATCATGTGGTTACCAAAGATTCCAATTTTGTTATCTTCTAACCCTGCTCACATGACTGTGAGTTGTTGCTGCGCTTGCTGGGGAGAGGAAATTTTTTAAGAATCTTTCAGTGATTTTATCTTGTATATTTCTGTTAAAACCCTCAAAACTTGCTATGAACTTCTCCATAAAGTTATTTGTTAGCTCTTCCCTTGATAAAACTATATTTTTTGATAGTTTTAGTGTTTTACTTAATAAAGTTTTGTTATCTGACTGTACAAAATTATTGAATAAATTTTTAAAAGAATTTAGTAAAAGTAATTGCGATTGTTATTGATATTGTAATTATTGTAATTGTAATTGTAAATATTAAGAGTTTGAATTCCAAATTCTTTCATAATTTATTCATCACGTTCTTTTCCTCAGCAAGTATCATTTCAAGTTCTGTAACTTCAACCTTACTATTTAAAGCAGCTTCACTATTAAGTCTTTTGAGGATAATGTCTTTATCATCATCGACATTATTATTGGATGTATTATTAAAATTATTACTCATTTTGAAGATGATTTGTGACGTACAAAGCCACGATAAACACGGAATTGTCTTCATTGTGAAGTTGAATTTGTTGGTGAATGTGTTGGTATTGATTGAGTAGTTGGGTAATCTTGTTGCGAAGATGATGTAGAAATTGTAAGAGAAGGTTTATCAGTCTGAGTAGTTGGATAATCTTGTTGTGAGGGTGATGTAAAAATTGTAAATGAAGGTTTAGTTTCAGTAGAATTATCGTAAGGTGGAGGAGGTTCTTCATCTTCAACAGTTTCTACATTTTCATCCCAAGTAGAAACATCTTTTTTCTTATGATCATAGACATTTTCATCATCATCATCATCATCAATATCATCATAACCATAATTTTGTCTCGTTGAATGACCTCCAGTATTTAAAGTATTCCCAGTTAATATATTTATAGCATCAGTGGCAAAATCGGAAGTATAGGTAGCAAGTTCTACAACTTTATATATAAAGTTTGTGACAATTCCAGGACGAAGTATTTTAGAAATTTTTTCTTGTTGTCATTGTTGAAAATCTAGTATTGAAATTGACTGCATTTTGTGTTGATATTTTTTAAAAAATTTTAGGTATATAGTAATATATATAGGGTTTATTGGAAGAAAAGTAGAATAAAGAACAAACAAAAAAAATAAAAAATTGATTTTTGTTGTTCTGTGCGGGGTATTTTTTTATTATATATTTTTTGTACAGGTATTGGTAAAAAAAAAAGAAAATAATTTTTTTTTGCATATTTTTAAAATTTTATATGTACTGTATATATGTATATATATACGTAATTTTTTTTATACCTGTTATTGAATGACTCAAAGGATGACTCAATATTTTTAAGTGGCTCAACTTGTGACTTTTTAATAGAAAAATGTTACACTTTGATCTTTAATCTGATGATAAATTTCGCGATAAAACTATACAATTATCACACCCAACATTTGATGAAAAGATCAGAATGAGTAATATGAGTAATAATAACTTGTAATTAAATAATATTTATTTGTAATAATGTGATATAAAAGATATATGATATAATATACATATAAGTAATATATAATATAATAAGTGTTAATTTTATATTTTTTAATGTTTTTAATAGAAAGATTTATAAACATTTCTTGATGTCCTACCATCAAAGTTTTTTTTTGATAGATGTATAATAGAATAAGCATAATACGTATAATACAATATGTGTCAAATTGTAGTATCACCAAATTTCAGATTTTTTGATATGTATATTTTATTTAGATTGAGTAAATTTACAATCATATAAAATACTACTTAATGATCCTTATAATATAATCATACATGGTAATCTTTAATCTATCAAAATTTTGCACTTTAATATTATAACAACCCAAATCTTTTAACTTCATCTTTAAAATCAAAACAATTCATCATAACCCTTTTCTTTTTCATAATATATTCTTTTATATAGGGTAAAATACTTTGGTCATTTAAGTAATAACAGATTAATAATTTCTTAATAAAGGTATTTTGAGAATTCTTTAGAAACACTTCTTCAATATGGTAAAGTTTCAAATGTAAAACGTAAATATTTTGATTTAGGAGGAAGAATTTGTCTTAAATTTTGTAATATTATTGCTTGAACTACATTCAATTCGAATCAGCATGGGCTGTACATTAATATTTTCAATTAAATATAATTTTTGATAAGTAAACTGACTTCCAATTGTATAAAAATCAAAACTAATTTTACAATATTTTAAATAATAATATTTGTGATACTTCATAACTGGAATTAAACCTAAAGTTACTATTGTATTTAAAGTATTTGAACAATTGTATATATTTGATGATAATAATGATTTAAATAAAGATAAATAATTTTTATTTATTAAAATTTTCTTGCTATTTCAATAAATAAAATAATAATTTCAATTTAAATAATCATTTTAATTAATCGAATTGATAAAATAAATAATTACTAAATCTTGGTGTAAATTACTTCATTATGCAAGCATGATACTCCACAAGCTAACTGGTAAGTCAAATTCCATTTATCACCCAAAGTAAGCTTAGTAAAATTGTTCTTCAAATAGTTTCGAAGAATACCACCATCTGCATATTCCAATACTAACATAAAATTTTTAATATTATTTCTAAAGAGCAAAAGAAATAATTATTAATTTAATTTGAATATTACAATAGATTTATTATACTTATAATACCTGGCTCAAATTTTGTTATTCCATAGAAGCAAATAATAATCTACTTTTCGTTGCAATTTAATCAAATTTTAAATATAACAATAAAGGGTTAAACTATAAACATTGAAAATGCATAGTAATTACCTCATAAACAATTTCTTTCGCGGTGGTATTATCAAGATTAAAAAAAGATTTTAACGCTAAATATTTGTATCCTCAGTATCATAAATTTTGGACATATCTAAATAATTTGAAAAAAAGATATGTCGCGTTAAAAATTTCTATTGTTTTAAATTTAAACTAATACACAGTGTTACAAACAATAACTCAGCCACAGTATCAAAAGTAATGGTACGAGAAAGTTAAGATCAGATCACTACCACCATCACTTATACCACCTACACCACTTACAGTATATAATAATAGCGTAAATCATTTTGTACTAATTTAGTCATTAATTTTTTATTTTAATTTTTTTATGTATAGTATTATGAGGACTATCTCTGGAGACGATATTATAAATTTTGGTTATCCCCTCAAAACCTTCTTCCACAAAATTCACTACTCCTTCCTTTTTTGAATAATCCCTGAAATTCAATACATTCAACAATTTAAACATGCATACTGCAGACCCTTAGTTGTTATAGACTTAACTTTTCCAAGTTGTTATGATAATAAAAATTTCCATTATTGCAAATTAATTTAATATCAAATAAAATTATCTTATAAAAAAAAGGTATCAAATAAAAAAATTTATTATGCTATTACTATATTAACGCAAATTTTTGCTTAAAAAAGTCTATTGTGAAAAAAACTATGAATAAATAAATAATAAAAAAAAATGGCAAATAAATGTTTATTATTAAAAAAAAAATTATCAAATAAGAAATTAATTTGTTAAGAATTTGAGTTTTTCTTTGATGATAAATCCTAGAAAATTGTGTTTAATCGTATTTTGATTCGTATCCATGAGATCAGATCGAAAAAATGTGATAATGATTTCCAAAAATCGATATTTTTTATCCTTATTAAAAAAATCAATAATGAATTTTTTCGAAAAAAAATCACCAAAAAAGTGATATCTATAAAATGATTTATGAAAATGATAGACAATTTACAATAAATTTTTTATAACTATGTATAAATAATAATATCATTAAAATAAATAAATAAGATACAATCTAAACATATTTCATCGAAAGCACATGATAATAAATTTAAAAGTCATTAAAAAGTGATATCAATTTATTAGTACTATATTATGTAAAATGTAATAATACTTTGAAAAAGTTGTACATTATAAGTTACAAAATACTTTATATCCGAGTAAAATTGCACTATGCCATAAGATATTCGTACATAATAAAATATCTCTGCACAAAATAATATTCACCTACAGTTGATTACAATTTATTAATCCAAATATTCTATATACAGTACTTAGTCAAAACATAAAACTTCTTGCTTCAAAAAGAAAATATTTTCATAATTTTTTTAATATTTGTATCTATAATGTCTTTCACTAAATGTATAATCATATCAAACCCAAATCTTTTTCGCTGGTTTGATGCTCACTTTCTTTATCTTCATTTTCTTTAACTTCTTCAATTAATAATTCATCTTCATCATATTTCTAAAAGTGCAAAAATGAAACTAAGATAAAAATCTATTAACACAGTAAAATAAAAATAAAACCATACCTGCGAGATAATTTTTTCAACAAATTCTATGTCCAAAGTAAAACCTGGTAAAATATTACCACCATCTAAATCTTCCCACTTACGTTTCTGACGGGTAACATTTTCATCATCATCCTTTTCATAAGTCCAGATCATGTGATTCCTTGGATCAATTAACCATCCCAACTTTACAGAAGTACCAGTTGCAAAGTAATCATTCTTGAATCTAATATCAACTTCATTTAATATTGCTTCCTTTGAAACATTTACAACCTCAGTAACAAATATGGGAGTAAAAGGTAGGCCAAAAAAAGTCAAAAGCTGAAATTTACTAAGTGAGTTATAAATATTTTCGGGTATAAAAGCAATATGAGGTGCCCGAATCTTACTCTGGCCTTTAACACTAAAATTATAACCTCCTTGAGATGTAGTAACAATACCATTTTGACCAGTTTCAACATTCCAGTTACCAAGTTGTCTAGAAATTTCATGTACAACAGCCTCATTAGCAATTGGAGATTGTGGAATAGGAAGTAGCCTTCCATTTTCAAAGTTAATACGAGTTTTAAGATGATTGTTAATGTGTTCAATCTCTTCTGGGGTGTAAATATGGGTAAGATCCAAATTTTTTAAATCTAGTGAAAAAGAAATTTATTGGATAGTAAATATTTCTATATTTGTAAGTACAAAATAGTTTCTTCACAATTAATAAAAGCACTTTACCGATTTCTTTCTTTTTTGGTGGCATGATTTAAGAAAGTTACTAAGAAAATCTTATATAAAAAAAAATTGACAAAATAGAAAAAATAATGTGAGAAAGAAAAAATGTATAAGGAAAGCTATTTATATATTTTTTAATTTGATACATTTTTGGTTAATAATTATGATAAATTATGACGCAATAGTTTTAATTTATAATGATGACACTCTGAAACATAAGATATAATCACATGAAGCATTCCAAATATTATATAATAATTATATACAATTCTTGTAAATAAAATTAATGATAGACGTAATTTTTAAAATTATTGTTTGAATCATTTATTATATTACATTTCTTTTGTGACATTATATCTTTTAAGGTAATTCAAATAATATTTTTTTGTAATAACTTGAATTTTTAAACGAGGTATGTAATTATATTTAATAATGACATATAATAATATTATTAATATGTAATTTTTTGTGCTAATTAATGCTTATGTTCTGGTCTTGTCCCATTATTTGGAATAACACAAGATCCAAATACTAAAAAATTATATGGTTGTAATGGGAAAATGCCACTTGATAATTTAAGAAATGACTTATGTAGTTAAAGAGAATTTAGGCAAAAATCATAATGTGTAATAGAATAATGAAAAACAAAAAGGACAAGGATATTTATAATATAAAAAATTTTATTAAGAAATAATAAGAAATAGAAAGAATAGAATAAAGAATAAAAAGAATAAAGGATTAAAGAATGGGTTTAATAATTGTTAATAAATATAACAGAAAGAGAAAATATTAGAATAGAAGGAATAAAGTATAAAGAATTAGAAGTAAAAATAAGAAAAAAAATAAAAGAAAAAATAATTAAAATTTGTTAAAATTAAAGAATATAATATAATCTAGATTAATGTTTTCAAAACTTAATAAACTTAACCATTAATATATAATTAAAGCTCCAAACCATATATTCAGAGCTTTACATACTGTAATATATAATATTACCAAACTAAATATTTTAAATTTTACTACATATATAGTTAATTGTTATTTCATTAGCAGATTTCCATAAAATGTGATGAAAACCAATTACTAATATAACAAATCCCTTTAACTTTATATTAGGTTTAGATTTTGTTATTTTAACATACTCATCAAATACTCCTGAACTAGAATAGTAAGAAAATATAAAATGAAATAAAAATTTATTAAAATTAAAGAACATAATATAATCTAGATTATATTTTCAAAAATTAATATAGACCTTTAATATATAATACATATTATATAATATAATATTAAAAATGCAATATATGCTAAACTAATATTTTAAATTTTATTATATATGTAGTTAGTTGTTACTTCATTAGCAGATTTCCATAAAATGTGATGAAAACCAATTACTAATATAACAAATCCCTTTAACTTATTAGGTTTAGATTTTGTTATTTTAATGTGTGCTTTTACTAAAAAAAATAAAAAATGAGTTAATAATATAAAATCTAAACAAATTATAGCATTTAGAATATTTTTGGCATATAAAAGAAAATTTGAATTTTTTTAGTAGTTGCGCCCATAAAGTAATCAAGATAAAAAATTCAAAAAAGAGGATAAGCATAGATGTGAGAAATTTCAGATGATTTTATATTAGATGTATTATTTAAATGAGATGTATTAGCAGGGGCCAAATTTTCTTTTTTATATTCATTAATAATCCTTTGCCAAAAAGTTTGCAAAAACTTCATATAAAGAAAGTGGTTTTCATTTACCTATTATAAGAAAGAAATTGTTAGCAGTGCATCAATATTTATTTAGTGATAAAAGAAGGTACATAGCCAATTCCTCCTCCAGAATTAGCAGACTTGTATCAACTACAAAATTAGGGTGCCCAAAAATGAGGTCTATGGATTGGTTACCAAGATGTCAGATCAGTAATTCTCCTAAGTCAAGACGCAGTCAACCAGGAGTTACCCTAATTTTGCAAAATAAAAAATAACACACCTTATTTTTATTTCAACATAAATAACCTAATTGAACAGAGATTTTGCCTCCTTTAGAAAGTGATAAAACAAATAGTATCAATACTATTTAAATTCAAAAATCCACAATATGATGATTTACTACTTCATTTTTTTTATTCTATTTAGGACTAAATAGAATTTGGTCAATTGGAATTTGGTCAATAATTAAATATCTTTGCTAGATTCAAATTGCTAAGAGAGAGTAGGATAAATAATGAATAAAGAAAGATAAGTGAAAAAGTAAAGATAGGTCCTATCTTAGTTATATATATATTTGTAGGCAGGAATGACACATTAATGTTAATAATTGTCATTGAATTACATCATTTAAACATAAAGTTACATTTTTTTTGTCAATATGAGTCAATATTACCATGCATTTGCAGTAATTAATGAAGAACATGCAATATATTTCATTGTAGCATGACTTGATAAACTAACACATTAATGTGAATATGAAGTAATTAAATAATGTAATTAAATACTATATTACATATTCTTTGTTAATATGAGTTAATATTACCAAGCATTTGTCAGTAATTAATGAAAAACATGCAATATATTTCATTGTAGGCAGCATGACTTAGGCTGACACATTGATGTAAATAATCTTGAATCAAAAGTCTTTATAGTCACAATCACAAAAGTGTCACAATTAATATAAAAAAAAGTACTATTGCATTTCATTACATTATTTAATATATACCTTTTTAATTTGTATTTTTAACTTTCTTTTTCATAAATTGAATAATATTACTACCAAAAAATTAATATTAACCAAATGATTACAATATTTAAAATTTCATTCATGTCACTATCCTTTTTTCTCAAAGAAATAACAGAATGAGACTTGAGAATAAACAAGGAATATGTTATAACTGTATCAAATTTGTTTGACTACAATGACCTTTCCTTAAATGAACAATTAATATTTAATACTTGCTGCTTGCATATAATAATAATCACTAACTATGGCTCAATTTTTAACCAATTTATATACTTTTGCATATGTATTAATATATTCTTTAAAAAAAATTAATTGAGAAAATATGGAAGTTTTTTTATATTTGATTTAGTGACTTCAAAACCTGCCATACAATACTACCAGCAATTATTGATTTTTTTGTGATTTTTTCAAACTTTTCAGTTTTTTAAGTTAAATAACTCCACGAAAATAAATTTTGATGCTTTAAAATGATCTGTGCCGCCCCTAAATCACATATTCTAAAAGTATACAAAATGTTTATTTTAGATTATTAAGTTTTCAATTAATCTATAGTTCACTCATGTACTAAGCAATTAACATGTAAAATTTGTAATTATATTATATATATAGTATAATAATTAACTATAGATATTTTTTATCTCCTGTATACAAAGATAAAAGATTATTATATGAAAATTTAAATAGTCATAAAAAAGTTTTATGAAATGAAAAAGCTAGAGAAAAAATTTGTGTAAATAATATAGTTAAAGAAAATTTTACAGGGTGTAAAGTATCTTAATTAAATAATAGATTAAAAGATTAGTTAGTAACTAAATATCACAAGTTGAAAATAAATATTAAAAGTTAAAGTAATTTTCATTGGACTAGTAATATTTTTGCCAGGATAGTTGTTCATATTGATTAGTTTAATATAAGAAATATGATAAATAATAAATTATTTAAAATATAGTAATAATAAATTGAAAATAGTAAATAAAGAAAAAATTTTAATAAATTGCTAAGAATAAGGAATAAAAGAATAAAATAGTAAAAAATAAAAAAAAGGAGAGGAATAAAGAAAATTTTACAGTGTGTAAAGTATCTAGATAATAGATTAAAAGATTAATATTAAAAGTTAACATAATAGTTGCTCATATTGATTAAATTCAAACTGTTAAGGAATATTGATAACTAAATAATAAATTATTTTAAAATATAGTAATAATAAATTTAAAGTATTATGTAAATAAAGAAAAAAAATTTATAAATTGTTAAAAAAGAATAAAAAATAAAAGAATAGAATAGTAAATAAAAACAAAAGAACAAGGAATTTTATAAAAAAGTTAAAAGTATTTTGTTAGAAATAAAAAGAATAAAATAAATAATAAAGAAAATAAAAGATATTTAATACTGTAAATTGATAATAAATGTAACAAATAAGTATAAACTATAAAGAATTAGTAAGTAAAAATAAGTAAAAAATAAAAGAAAATAAAAAGAATAAAAGAAAATAAAGAATTAAAATTTGTTAAAATTAAAGAATATAATATAATCTAACTTAATATTTTCAAAATTTAGACTATTAATATATTATTATAATACTAAAAATGCAATATATGCTAAACTAAATATTTTAAATCTTATTATATATATAGTTAGTTGTTACTTCATTAGCAGATTTCCATAAAATGTGACGAAAACCAATTACTAATATAACAAATCCCCTTAACTTATTAGATTTAGATTTTGTTATTTTAACTCGCTCATCAAATACTCCTGAGTTAGAATAGTTTATAGCTTTTCCTTTTGAAATTGTTTTCATATATGAATTTAATTGATTCAACCCTTTATTTAATGTTTCATCTATAGTTGTTAATTTTGTTTTTTTTTCTTCCTTTGACCAATATGTATATGATCTTTTTAATACAGATTCTTCATTTTCCTTTTCAAGTATTTTATCTAGATTTTCAAGTTCATTTGCACCAAAATTATTTTTCTGATTACTATTAATAAGTCCAACTAATGATATATATTTCAATTCTAAAATAACATTATTATCTCCTTCACTACTTAAAATAAAAATATCTGAATAACCAAAACGACCTGAACCTTTTTGCTTTTTACCATTAATTACTAATGAAAGTTCTGGAATGCAATACTTTAATGGCAAAAGATTTTCTACAATTGCTTGAAGTACAGGTTCATTTGCTGATGATAGAGACATTCGTGATCTTGATAATAAAAAAGTTTTTAGAATTTTAATAAAAGGTATGATATTATCTGCAATAAGACTTTCATATGCTGAAGCAACAAGAAGTGCATTATCAACAACTTGGATATATG